TTGACTGGTCTTCTGCTAAAACTGTCTACCCTACTTCTAACTTTCACAGTCGCCGTCTGGTTGAATCCTCCCTTATACACAACTTTCCTTGTATGAATCTTAGTGCTGGCTTTGTCTCTGTAGATGCCGTCTTTTCCCATTACATTGTAAAATGCTCCAACCTTCACAACACTCGTGACTTACCCTGATTCTTTTTTCCCCTTCTCCCTCTTCCCCTTTCCTCTTTCCTCTTTCTCCTTTGGGTTTTCTTTCTTCTGCCTTGGGTATTTGGTCCATTATTATTATTATTTCCCCTGTGTTCTTGTTCCTACCTCTGTGGGCCCCTAGCTCCCTTGCAGTGCTCCTCTTTCTTAGTATTTGACTGACTCCACTACTACTACTTCTACTACTACCTCTCTTGTCCCATCCCTGTCTGCTGGCCTATATATACTCCCTCCTTCTCTCCTTTTTGTTAGTGTGACTTTCTGAATGGTCCAAGTCGGATTGAAACGTCGTCAGAAGATCGTCTCTCCTATGTGCGCATTATTTGTGTAGTGATAATGTCAGAGGATCTCACTTTCAAGGATTACAATAGTGTTTCTATCACATCTGCTATGAAAATGATAGGATGGATAATGAGAACCTTCAAAACTAGGGATGTCAAGCCCATGATGGATTTCTTCAAATCGCTTGTTCTCTCTAGGTTGGAATATTGCTGAACACTAACGGCCCCTTTCAAGGCAGGTGAAATTGCAGATCTAGAGAATGTACAGAGAACTTTCACTGCATGCATAAATACGATAAAGCGCAATATGTAAATACTTATTTTTTCAATGGCTAATTTTCACTGTATTACATTACACAGACACTACGAAAGCAAGATAGTTTAATAAATTTCACATACGTACTGAAAATCATAAGTTTATGTAGGTATAGGTACACATAAGTACAGTTACACAAATTTAGGTGACTAAAATTATCGTTACCTAGGATAATCGAAAAAAAGTCAGACAAAATGACTTACTTCCATTGGGGTCCAAATGCAGGTGTTCGGTAATAAGGTATCAAAGTTTTCAAAGTTTATTCTCTATAAGGATTACAATGTTGAATTTACAGAATTTGGTTATTGTGTGGTTTACATGTAGTTAAATAATGATTACAGAGTGTACCACTAGAACGCCTAGCATGGCTAGGCATTTCGGGCAGACTTAGTTTAATTCTTTATTTTAAAATATTACAAATTATGAGGTAAGTTGGTATTATGGCTAAGTGACTAAATACTAGTTTGTGAGTTTAGCAATGTGAATGCTTTTGTTTTGGCACAGTACATAGTTTCAGGATTGGAGTATCATAGGATTCATTATTTTAAGATTGAGATTAATATTTCTGTTTATGGTCGAATGGGTGAGTGAGTGTGTGAACCACTAGGTGGTATTCGTGGAGTTAGTTGATGGGGTGTATCAGGGAGATAAGATGTTTTCTAATGGTAGTTTTAAAGGTGATGAATGTGTCTGCAGTTCTAGAGTTCTCAGGTAGGGTGTTCCAGATTTTAGGGCCTTTGACATACATTGAATTTTTGTAAAGGTTTAGTCGGACACGGGGAATGTCGTAGAGATGTTTGTGTCTGGTGTTATGCCTGTGGGTTCTGTCACAACTATCAAGAAAGCCTTTTAGGTCAAGGTTGATATTGGAGTTTAAGGTCCTGTAGATGTAGATTGCACAGTAGTAAGTGTGGATGTACTGAACAGGGAGTAAGTTTAGATCTATGAAGAGTGGGGGGGGGTGTTGCCAGGGATGGGATTTAGTGATTATTCTTATTGCAGCTTTTTGTTGGGTTATTATTGACTTTAGGTGTGTTGCTGCAGTTGATCCCCAAGCACAAATAGCATAGGTGAGGTATGGATAAATAAGTGAGTGGTACAGTGTGAGAAGGGCATTTTGGGGCACGTAGTATCATATCTTGGAGAGGATCCCAACCGTTTTGGATACTTTTTTGGTTATGTGTTGGATATGGGTGCTGAAATTCAGGTTGTTGTCAAGGTATAGGCCTAGGAATTTGCCCTCATTATGTCTGGTAATTAGAGTGTTGTCGATCTTAATGTTAATTTGTGCATCTCCTGCTCTGCTACCAAACAATATAGTAGGTTTTGTCAGTGTTAAGCGTAAGTTTATTGGCTGTCATCCAAGTCGATATTTTGATCAGCTCCTCGTTAACAATGGTGTTGAGGGTGGCAAGATTAGGGTGAGAGATGACATAAGTCGTGTCGTCAGCAAAGAGAATGGGTTTCAGGTGTTGGGATACGTTTGGAAGATCATTGATGTATATGAGGAAGAGCAGGGGACCAAGGACACTTCCCTGCGGAACTCCAGTATCAAGTGGCCGTGTTGTTGATGCTGTCTTTAATGGTGACGTACTGATACCTATTAGTAAGGTAAGATTTGAAATAAGCAAGCGCATGGCCTCTTATACCGTAATGGTCAAGTTTGTGGAGTAGGATGTCGTGGTCTACTGTGTCAAAAGCTTTTCTTAAGAAAGGTCAATAAAAATTCCTAGTGGATATTCCTTATTTTCCAATGCTGTGTAAAGCAGATCTAGCATTTTTATGATTGCATCATTAGTGCTTTTATTTTTCCTGAATCCAAATTGGCAGGGGTTGAGTATGTTTTGTGCTGTTATAAATGAATATAGTCTCCTGTGCACGAGTTTCTCAAAGATTTTGGATAGCAATGGTAAGTTTGATATTGGCCTATAGTTGTTTAAGTCTGTAGGGTCACCACCTTTATGTATTGGTGTAACCCTTGCCATCTTGAGTAGTTTCGGGAAGGTGCTAGTTTCTAGTGACTTGTTAAAAAGTAATGAAATAGCATGCGAAAGGATATGGGCCGCTCGCTTGTAGAGTAATGGTGGGACATGAGACAGATTCCCTGAGTTATTTTTAAGTGTTGGTGTATCTTACTGAAATTAATAAATTACAGTATCTGATTTTATTGGGTTACGCTAATTGCACATGTCCCGTAGCTCGATCACTAGCGCACTCAGCTCACACTGAGGTCCGGGGTTCGAATCTCCTCCGGTACGGCTGGAAAACATTAGGGACGTGCTTCCATAAGACACCTGCTGTCCCTGTTTCACCCATCAGTTTAAAATGGGTACCTGGGTGTTAGTCGACTGGTGTGGAGAGTTTACCTGGAGTTTACCTGGAGAGAGTTCCGGGGGTCAACGCCCCCGCGGCCCGGTCTGTGACCAGGCCTCCTGGCGGATCAGAGCCTGATCAACCAGGCTGTTGCTGCTGGCTGCACGCAAACCAACGTACGAGCCACAGCCCGGCTGATCAGGAACTGACTTTAGGTGCTTGTCCAGTGCCAGCTTGAAGACTGCCAGGGGTCTGTTGGTAATCCCCCTTATGTGTGCTGGGAGGCAGTTGAACAGTCTCGGGCCCCTGACACTTATTGTATGGTCTCTTAACGTGCTAGTGACACCCCTGCTTTTCATTGGGGGGATGTTACATCGTCTGCCAAGTCTTTTGCTTTCGTAGTGAGTGATTTTCGTGTGCAAGTTCGGTACTAGTCCCTCTAGGATTTTCCAGGTGTATATAATCATGTATCTCTCCCTCCTGCGTTCCAGGGAATACAGGTTTAGGAACCTCAAGCGCTCCCAGTAATTGAGGTGTTTTATCTCCGTTATGCGCGCCGTGAAAGTTCTCTGTACATTTTCTAGGTCGGCAATTTCACCTGCCTTGAAAGGTGCTGTTAGTGTGCAGCAATATTCCAGCCTAGATAGAACAAGTGACCTGAAGAGTGTCATCATGGGCTTGGCCTCCCTAGTTTTGAAGGTTCTCATTATCCATCCTGTCATTTTTCTAGCAGATGCGATTGATACAATGTTATGGTCCTTGAAGGTGAGATCCTCCGACATGATCACTCCCAGGTCTTTGACGTTGGTGTTTCGCTCTATTTTGTGGCCGCATCCTGGGTCGCATCCTGGGACAAAACTGACCTAATTTGCCCAAAATGCTCAGCATAACAAGCGGCTTTCTATATAGTAGTATGTCATTGATATCAGCTAGGACTGTATACCCTGTACACGTACTTGTAGTAAATAGAGATATTATTATGATTACTCTGTAAAACAATTGTAGAGAAATATGCAATTGTGTACCGAGCCTGATTATTAATACCTCGTGAAATTGTAATTTTATTCAAGTATAGGTATACATACGTATAGTTACACAAATTTAGGTTACTACGATTATCATACATAGTAACATTTGTGTAAATTACCTAGAATAACTCCTCCAAAAAAGTCAGACGAAACGGCTAGTTTAATTTAGGGTCCTTGATAGGCCAATATTTAGAAATGTCGCTGGTGTCTACCAAAAATTATCACTCAACTCTGCTGAGTAGCTTTCCTAAATAATGACAGCCCATAATAACATAATTACAAGTAACTCAAGAAAGATAAGATAAGGTAAGCAAGATAAGACAGGATAAGCACAGATTTGTAACCAGGAATCTAGCCATTCAGGATAACCCAATAAAGGCCTGCCCTTACCTGGATTATTAGATTATCCTATTTTAAATCTACATAATGTACTGTATATGTGTGCCCATAATACCTATGTACCCCAAGGCAATTGTAAAAATCTTTGTGTGTTATGAATGTAACAATTAAATAAATTATTATTATTACAATCAAGGGGAAGCGCTAAACCCGTAGGATTATACAGCGCCTGGGGAGGATGTGGAAGGCATTCAGGCTTAATTCGGGGAACTGGAGCACAGATCCAATTCCCTAAATCAAGAGCCCCTCACCAACGTCAAGGAACCTTCCGTGAGGGGACAATTAAATAAAAAGTAACTAACTTGTCGCAGTCACCGCCTCAAACACTAAACTTGAGGGCTCATACGGTCCTAGAACCATCGTAACTCTTCATCCCAAAATACGCTATTACCTTTTTTCTTTTGCTCAGGGATGGAAAGAAAATAACTAAAATAATTTAATTATGTAAAAAAATGTAAAAGAAAAGGGCATAAATTATATTTAGAGTTATCTTGATACAATGCAATAATAACAACAACGTTAGTAAACTAAATATGGCGGACCAGACTGCCCGTCAGCTGCAGTATGAATATAAAGCGGTAAATACTTGATATATCATGCAATATTTAGAGGATTATTTGTGATATTTGATAAATTCGAACAAAATGCATTTTCCAGTATATTTTGGGCGGGTTGCACGATTTAGTTAACAAACGTTCCAGCTTTCACTTAAGGTCTGGTATAACACGAAATTATTGTAGTGTATTATAATAAAAGTAATAATATTAATTGTACATCGATATTACACCATTGGGTAGCAGTTTACATATTAAAAGAAACCCATGATTATGTACAGAATGAAGGAAACTACAGGAAGCTAATGCTGTATAGTCCTTGTGGCTTAGTGCTTCTTTTTGATTATAATAATAATAATACAGGAAGCTAAGAGAGTGATTTCCCGTAAGTTTAAAAAAAAAAAAAGTGTTCATCAGTGTTACGATGAGATGAAGATATGTTAACATGTGCATTTTTGTATAATGGACGGCATGAATATACCTTTGATGAGTTTCTTGAGTCTTACTACTATCAGAGCCCGGCCATGAGCCAGGCTTGTTTGGTGCTAGCCTGGTCAACCAGGCTATATGCCTAACTAGTGCCACCTAGCCTCCTAGGTTCCATTTAACATTCTAGACGCCACCTAACCTCCTAGGTCCCATCTAACTTCCTAAGTGCAGCCTATATTTTGTACTGCTTCACTTTATTAACACCAAGATGAGAACATAATCCCAATGGAAATGTCATGTCTTTAACTTAATTGGGTTATCCTATGTTAAAAATACACAGTATGCTTTTTATATACCCAAAATACTTTTTCTCAAGATTGCCGTATAAAAATAATTTTTATGCTTCATAAATAAAGCTTAAATAAAAAAAAGTACATACAGTCTCCCCTTCAAGGGGGCTGCGTGGTTGCCAGTGAAGAGCTCTTGATCCTTGTAATTGGATCTGCTCTTCATATGGTCAGATCATTCATTCACCAGGTGCTGTATAATCCCAATTGCTTTACCTCCTTCCCATGAATATAATAATTGAAGCATCATTTGGCTAAGCTGTAAAAGTGTTATATATGATGTATATATTTTCTGATATACTAATGTAAGGGTCATGGTTGAAGAAAACCCAATAAAGCCAATTAAGGCAGCTTACTTCCTTTGGGTTTCATATTAATATACAGAGGGAGAAATGCCGAGAAAGCTGTTGACGACGTGCAGCTGCTATGTGGTGTCCACATGAAAAAAAAAAAAGCAAATTATACAAAAAATGTGCAAAGAAGTGCTACAAAATAATTACAATGAAAGGCTAAAAACACTTAAAAATGCTCATGCTGTCATATAGCAGGGAAAGGAGATATGATAACATATAAGGTTATAAAAGGGTTATGAAAGAATAAAGAGAGGTTTTAATGCCATCAGCTGGGATATGAAAGAATAAAGAAAGGTTTTAGTGCCATAAGCTTGGATATACATACTAAATAATTGAAGGGATGCTAGGAAATTTTTCATTACAAATAGAGTACTGAAAGAATAAAATAAATTGAAAGATAAATTACATAGAATTAACTTAGGATAACAGTATACACAGTTATAGGATTATATGAAAGAATAGATAAAGATTATTTAGTAAAGTTCCTTCACCATTGATGAAAGGTTTCCACAGATGCACATTAAGAAAAACGAAGTCAAAAAGGTACCGGGAAATTTTTGTTCACAAATAGTGGTGGAGGAATAGAATAAATTGAAAGAGGTAGTACGTTCCACAACTATTGGAAATTTTGTAAAATTATAATGAATAATTTATAACAATAATGGGCCACCACAAGCATAGCTCTACTGCTGTAGCCACAAATATAGTAGTTAATTATACATGCACGTGTGTGTCAGACCATACTCTCACAGATTCAATTCTTACATTCCCACAGCCACACATTTTCTGTTTATATATTTGAATTCTTGTTCCCTTTCCTTTTACTGCCAGATTTTGGCATTTCATTCCAAAACCCTGGGAAGTAAATTATATAGTGTCCCTTAAAACCCAACAGGATTGACACACAAATAGGTAATGTGTTTGTATATTTCCTATTTGTAGCTACTAGAGTAGTGCTTCTATGTTTGTTGGTGTCTTATCTTCTGTGTTTAATTTCATTGGTTGTAGCACTTTCTAATTCCTTTTGTAATCTGTTCCATTGTTCTACCACTGTGAAGAAAGACTTCCTAGTATCTCTCAGAACAATTATTTTTTTCATGTTACAAGTGTGCCCTTTAGCTCTTCCTTTTAAAGGTACATGTGCATAAAATGTATGAATTATTATGAATGGGCTTGGTACAGATTTATTTCACTTTGAGATTAGAGAACTTTATACTGTAACCTGAATAAATTTTGATACTCATAATTATAAAAATCATAAAGTTTACTCTACTGTATCTACAAACTGTGTAACATAAATGGAGATAGTATGCATTCTTTCTGTATATAGTATCAAGAAATATTTCTATTGTTCTAACTTATTTGATGTAAATAGCTAAAGATGAAGATCTTTATTAATATTAAACTTTTCCACAGAATTCCAACCTTGTCTTGCAAGCTGATGTCCGGCTCATTGAGCGGCGTAGCAAGGATGAAGCAACAGGTGAAGTCATGTCCCTCTCAGGGAAGCTGGAGGGAACACGAATGGGGGATCGATATCAACGTACCAAGCCACAACAACCTAAGGAGGAACAGCGCAAGTCCAAGAAGCAGAAACGTGAAGATGCCCCATCCATTGCAGTAAAAAGTATGAGTATTCTAGAACTTGATGATATGGCAGACATATTTTATCGTCCCAAGAGCACAGACACGAAACAGACATATGAAGTTATTTTATCTTTCATCCAGGAAGCATTAGGTGACCAACCTCGTGATGTATTATGTGGTGCTGCTGATGAAGTTCTTGCAGTACTAAAAAATGACAAACTTAAAGATCGTGAGCGTAAGAAAGAAACTGAAGAATTGTTAGGTAGCCTTGCTGAAGAAAGGTTTGCTGTGCTGGTCAATTTAGGGAAAAAAATTACTGATTTTGGTCATGAAACAAAAACAGTTGCTAGTGAAGCAGTCTTAGATGAAACTCATGGAGTTAATGTGCAGTTTGAAGATTCTGAAGAGGAAGAGGAAGATGAGGTAGCTGGTGAAGTTGGTGATGAGGAGGAAGATGAAGGGGAAAATGAAGAGGGGATGGTTGGGTCACATGCCATTCATGCTGAGAATCTTACAGGTGGTGAGCAGGTTGGAGCAAAGAAGGAAAGAGTACTTAGTCCACATGATATTGGTGCACATTGGCTTCAACGAGAACTAAACAGATTTTATAATGATCCCATACAGGCTCAGACTAAATCAAGTGATGTACTTGAAATTTTAAAATCTGCCAAAGATGATAGAGAATGTGAAAATAAACTTGTTCTCAATCTTGGATATGATAAATTTGAATTCATTAAAGTTCTTAATAAAAATCGTCAAATGGTCCTGTATTGTACACTTTTGGCTTCGGCACAATCAGAATCAGAAAAGGAAGACATACGGCGAGTTATGTTAGCAGAGTCGAACTTAAAGCGAATACTTGCCCTTCTAGAAAATGAGGAAGAAGCAATGGATGTGACTAAAGATGGAGAAGAAATAGGAGGGTCACGTCCTAGGAGGATAAACACGGAAGCTATGGAGGTTGATGATAAATCAGGTCAAGTCCCAGGTCATAGAGAATTTATAGATTTAGAAAGCCTTGTGTTTACTACTGGGTCACACTACAATTCTAACAAGAAATGCCATCTTCCTGAAGGTTCAACAAGACAGATGAAAAAAGGGTATGATGAAATCCATGTACCTGCTCTAAAACCAAAACCTTTTGCTCCAGATGAAACTCTGGTTCCTATTGCCAACTTGCCTGCTTATACTCAACCTGCATTTGATGGTTTCAAGAACCTTAATCGTATTCAAAGTAAATTGCACAAAGCAGCCATGGACAGTGATGAAAATTTGCTTCTCTGTGCACCTACTGGTGCAGGCAAAACAAATGTGGCATTGCTAACCATTCTTAGAGAAATTGGTAAAAATACTAATCCAGATGGTACCATAAATTCAGAGGCTTTTAAAATCATCTATGTAGCCCCCATGCGCTCACTTGTTACAGAAATGACGCAGAATTTTTCAAAAAGGCTGGAACCTTACGGCCTTAAAGTCAGTGAACTAACTGGAGATCATCAGTTGACGAGGGAGCAAATTATGGAGACCCAGGTTATAGTTTGTACTCCAGAGAAATGGGATGTCATTACTAGACGTGGTGGAGAAAGGTCATACACTCAGCTCGTACGACTAATCATCTTTGATGAAATCCATCTTCTTCATGATGAGCGTGGGCCAGTTTTGGAGGCACTGGTAGCCAGAACTCTACGTAATGCTGAGACAACTGGGGATGCTGTCAGACTGGTAGGATTGTCTGCTACTTTACCAAACTATGAAGACGTTGCAGCTTTTCTAAGGGTCAGCCTTAAAACAGGACTCTTCTTCTTTGACAATAGTTTTAGACCAGTACCTCTGGCTCAGCAGTACATTGGAATCACAGAAAAGAAAGCAATTAAGCGTTATCAAGTTATGAATGATATTTTGTATGAGAAAGTGATGGAGCATGCTGGAAAAAATCAGATCCTGATATTTGTTCATTCACGGAAAGAAACTGCTAAGACTGCAAAAGCCATCCTAGATATGTGCCTAGAAAAGGATACTCTTGGAAATTTCCTAAGAGAGGGCTCTGCTTCAACAGAAGTGTTGCGAACTGAGGCTGATCAAGTGAAGAACAATGATCTCAAAGGACTACTTCCATATGGCTTTGCTGTGCATCATGCTGGAATGAATCGAGTTGATCGAAATTTAGTAGAAGACTTGTTTGCTGATCGTCACATTCAAGTTTTAGTGTCCACAGCTACATTGGCTTGGGGTGTTAACCTTCCTGCCCACACAGTTGTGATTAAAGGTACTCAAGTATATGATGCAAGCAAAGGTCGTTGGGTGGAACTTGGAGCCTTGGATGTTCTTCAAATGCTAGGTCGTGCTGGCAGACCACAATATGATACTAAGGGTGAGGGCATTCTTATTACAAATCATTCTGAGCTTCAGTATTATCTATCTCTTATGAACCAGCAATTGCCAATTGAGTCTCAGCTTATTAACAAGCTACCAGACCTTCTTAATGCTGAGATTGTCCTTGGCTCTGTCCAAAGTGTACGTGAAGCTGTCAACTGGCTGGGCTATACATACTTGTATGTGCGCATGATTAGAGCTGGTAATCTCTATGCTGTTCAGGCTGATAGTTCAGATAAATATCTTCAGCAGCACCGAGCAAATCTTATACATTCTGCGGCTTTGAAACTGGAGAAGAGCAATTTGATAAAATATGACAAAAAATCAGGAAATTTTCAAGTCACAGAATTGGGTCGCATTGCCAGTTATTTCTATGTTACTTGTGAGACAATGAATGTTTACAATCAACAATTGAAGCCTACTTTAAGTGAAATTGAACTTTTCCGTGTCTTCTCGCAAAGTTCTGAATTTAAAAATATTATGGTAAGAGAAGAAGAAAAATTAGAATTGAAGAAGCTCATGGAACGTGTCCCAATTCCTATAAAAGAAAGTGTGGAAGAACCTAGTGCGAAGGTTAACATTCTTTTGCAAGCTTATATCTCTCAATTAAAATTAGATGGATTTGCTCTCATGTCAGACATGGTATATGTGACTCAGAGTGCAGGACGATTGATGAGAGCAATGTTTGAGATAGTCCTTCATCGTGGGTGGGCACAGTTGGCAGATAAAACTTTGAACTTGTGCAAAATGGTTGATAAAAGGATGTGGCAGTCAATGTCTCCTTTGAGACAATTTAGAAAAATTCCTGAAGAAGCTATTCGTAAACTTGAGAAGAAAAGCATTCCCTGGGAGCGTCTTTATGATCTGGGCCCAAATGAGATCGGAGAACTAATTCGTATGCCCAAAGGTGGAAAGATGATTCATAAATATATCCACCAGTTGCCTAAACTTGACTTGGAAACCCACATTCAACCTATTACACGTCAAATGCTTAAAGTAGAGCTCACTATCACACCAGATTTTAAGTGGGATGAAAAGGTTCATGGTCGCTCAGAAGCTTTTTGGATAATGGTTGAAGATGTTGATGCTGAAAATATTCTTCATCATGAATACTTTCTGTTGAAACAAAAGTTTGCAGAAGATGAGCATGTAGTCAAATTCTTTGTTCCTGTATTTGAGCCTCTCCACCCACATTACTTCATACGTATTACATCAGACAAATGGCTCTCGGCAGAAACTCAGTTACCTGTATCATTCCGTCATCTCATACTTCCAGAGAAGTATCCACCTCCCACTGAACTTCTTGATTTGCAGCCATTGCCCATTACTGCTTTAAGAAACCCACAGTATGAAACACTTTACAAAACACTAAACAAATATCAGCAGTTCAACCCTATTCAAACTCAAGTATTCAATGCTACATATAATTCTGATGACAGTGTATTCATTGCAGCCCCAACTGGTTCAGGTAAAACCCTCTGTGCTGAGTTTGCTATTTTGCGTACTTTCGGCCAGGATGAATCTGCAAGATGTGTGTATGTAGCATCCAAAGACGAGATTGTTGAGAGTATGTATGAACACTGGCAAGAAAAATTCAGCAACTTGGACAAGAGAGTTGTACTTCTGACTGGTGAGACTGGGGCTGACTTAAAACTCTTAAATAGGGCAAACATTGTTGTTAGTACAGCTGAAAAATGGGATGTGCTATCAAGACGTTGGAAACAGAGGAAGAATGTACAGAACATCAATCTCTTTATAGTTGATGAACTGCAATTAATGGGTGGCTCAGATGGACCTACACTGGAGGTAGTTTGCTCTCGTATCCGTTACATTGCATCTAAGATCAGTAGACACATTCGTATAGTAGCCCTGAGCTCCTCCTTGGCAAATGCTAGAGATGTAGCTCAATGGCTTGGATGTTCCTCTAACTATACTTTCAATTTTCATCCAAATGTTAGGCCCTTACCACTTGAGTTACATATTCAGGGCTTCAATAATCCACACAATGCATCTAGGATTTATGCTATGGCTAAACCTGCTTACCTTGCTATTCTGAAGCACAGTCCCCGTAAGCCTGCCATGGTGTTTGTGCCATCTCGAAAGCAAAGTATGATTACAGCTAGTGACCTTCTCACTTTTGCTGCTGCTGATAAAGAACCACAAAGATTCTTACAGGTGAATCCAGAAGAGATGGCAGAGTTCCTTCCCCAAATTGGTGATGAAATGTTGAGAGAACTGGTTAGTCAGGGTGTTGGGTATCTTCACGAAGGCCTCAGTGCACGTGACCGGCGGATGGTGGAGAGATTGTTTGAGGCAGAGGCAATTCAAGTGGTAGTTGTGAGTCGTGCCTTGTGTTGGGCGGTAACTGCACCTGCACATTTGGTCATTATCACTGATACTCAGAGTTACAATGGCCGTCTGCACAACTATGAGGATTATCCAATTACTGATACCTTACAAATGGTTGGCCGTGCTAATCGACCAAATGAAGATGATGAGGCAAAGTGTGTACTAATGTGTCATTCTTCCAAGAAGGACTACTTTAAGAAATTCCTTTATGAGCCACTACCCATTGAAAGCCATCTTGACCATGCACTTCACGATCACTTCAATGCTGAAATTGTAACACGTACCATTGAAAACAAACAGGAGGCAGTAGACTATGTAACATGGACATTCCTTTACCGCCGTATGACTCAGAATCCCAACTACTATGGCCTTCAGGGAGTCTCACATCGACACTTATCTGATCACCTTTCTGATTTAGTAGAAAACACCCTACATGACCTTGAAGAGTCTCGCTGTATCACCATTGAAGATGACATGGACACAGCTCCACTCAATTTAGGCATTATTGCTTCATATTACTACATCAACTATACTACCATAGAATTGTTTAACAAGTCTTTAAATAGTAAGACAAAGATTCGAGGTCTGCTGGAAATCATCTCCAGTGCAGCAGAATATGAAAATGTTCCTATTCGTCATGGTGAAGAGGACACATTGAGACGTCTTGTACAAAAGGTTCCTAACAAACCTGAGGGAAAAGTATCAGATCCCCACACAAAAACCAACCTTATGTTACAGGCTCATCTGTCACGTCTCACTCTTAGTGCAGAATTGCAACAGGATACAGAACTTGTTCTTGGTCGTGCCTTGAGGCTAATACAGGCATGTGTTGATGTGTTATCTTCCAATGGATGGCTGGCACCTGCTTTGTCTGCTATGACTTTAGCTCAGATGGTGACTCAGGCTATGTGGTCAAAAGATTCTTACTTGAAACAGTTGCCTCATTTTACAAGTGAAATGATAGAACGTTGTGAAGCTAAAGATGTAACATCAGTGTTTGATATTCTAGAGCTTGAGGATGATGATCGTAACCGTTTACTACAGTTATCTGATGCTCAGATGACGGATGTGGCTCGTTTCTGTAATCGCTATCCTAGCATTAATTTAGATTATGAAGTGATTGATTCAGATTCTATTACCAGTGGGTCAATGGTGAATGTAGAAGTGGTACTTGAGCGTGAGGATGAGCCTGGACCAGTTATTGCTCCTCTGTTCCCACACAAGCGAGAAGAGGGTTGGTGGGTTATTATTGGTGATCCCAAACCAAACTCCCTCATCTCCATCAAGCGTCTCACCCTTCAGCAAAAAGCCAAGGTGAAGTTGGATTTTGTAGCACCTAGTGAAGGTTCTTATGAGTATAGGCTATATTTCATGAGTGATGCTTACATGGGTTGTGACCAGGAATATAAAGTGCCCTTGAGAGTGAGAGAAGCAGAGTCAGAGTCAGAGTCAGAGAGTGATTAGAAGCTTAAATATGCTCTTTTATGCAGTATACAGTACTATTTTTATAAATATTTGAGTATCATATAGGAAACTTTGGTTGCTCCTATATCAGCTTGAATACACCATATAAGGAAAATTCATAGGAAAGTGTATTTTATTGATTTAAAAAATTTAAATCCGTCAGTAAATAATTTTACTTCTTATAACACAAATTTAATTTTGCGCGGTTGGAGAAGGCCGACTTGTTAAAAAAAAAATATTTAGCATATACAGTATTCTGTATTAAAAATTAGAAAAGTTCTTATTGATAGTGCTCATGCAAGGTGAGAAAACATTGACTAAAAGAAAATTATTAACTGTATCTTAATTTGTGGTGTTTAAAAGTTGAATGAGAGTTATGCATAGAATAGATAAAGGTTTTTCAGATAATGTATATGAAAAAGTACTCTACAGAAATGTACTACATTGATAAATCAGTTTAATTTCCACTTATTATAACTGAAGTTCTTGTATTGTGGATTGCATTCCTCTTTTATATATATATATATATATATATATATATATTATATATATATATATATATATATATATATATATATATAATATATATATATATATATATATATTTATATATATATATATATATTATATATATATATAAATATATATATATATATATATATTATATATATATATATATATATATATATATTAATATATGTATATATATGTAATATATATATATTTATACATACATACAGTGGAACCTCAAATATCCAACTTTCTTCAGTCCAGAAGGCTGTTCGAGTGCCTTTACCGAATGAATTTATTCCCTTCAGGAATAATGTAAATTAGATTAGTCCATTTCAGACCCTCAAAAATACACTTATAAAAGCACTTACAAAAATACACATACATAATTGGTTGTGTTAGGAGCAGTTCGATTTTTGAGGTTCCACTGTATATAGTATATAATATTAATCTTTGCAATTGAAACTTACTTTGTTCTGCTTGTTTTTGTAGAAAATAAAAAGGCATGAACTAAATGACTTTTGTAAAGAAATTTTGTCTTATGTGTAGTGTTAAAAATTGTGTGAGAGTTAATTAAGCATGTGTAAATATGTACTATTACTTTGTGGGAATTCCGATTCTTTATATGTAGATAATAGTGTATACCTGTATTGTAAGGAAAAAAGCAGTACTGTACTTTAATTAGCATTTTCTATGTGAACACAAGTATTTTATTAAATAACATTACTGTATGGAAACTCGTTTCATTCATCCTTTGTACTTTTGAATTAATTAAAGATATAAATTTGCTTGTGTTGTCAAAGACAGCACCTATTGCAATAGCACAGAAAGAATGGAACAGATGTAGGAGTCATAGTTGTCCATCATAGTATAATATATTCAGAATATCTTGGGAAATATAAGCTTTTTGTCTACCCATTCAAAGTGTAAGTTCCTCAGATATTAGTTTGAGAAACTTAAATTTTTTCTTAGGTTCTTTGATCTTGTTTACATCTTACAAGTCATACATTAAATATTAAACTTGTACTGTGCAAAGAAAATAGATTTGTGTTAAATTTTTCCAGACTTATTTCACCAAGAAGCATTAATTATTAAGTATTACCCCTCAGGGGAAGTTTCTTGATGCTGGTAAGGGGCTCTTATTCTAACGGACTGACCTGTGCACCAATTCCTTGAATTAAGCCTGAATGCCTTCCATTCCCCAGGTGCTGTATGACTTCTACAGGTTTAGCGCACTCCAACGAATGTAATAATAATCATGAATATTAAACATTTAAGATAATTATATTAATATTACACTGTAAACTACTCTTGAATGTCTCCCCTACGCATAACTCCCTCTCAATGGTCCAAATCCCATTGCGGTATTTAAATAGTTCTGGACTCAAGGGAGGTGCTTTTATGTTGGTTAAAGGCTCTTGATCCATCTGTCATGTCTTATTGCCTTCCATTTCCCAGATGCTCAATGACCCTTATGGGATTAACTTTCCTCCCACCCCCTTGCATGTAATAATAATGTATGACCTCTATAGGCCAGGGAAGGAATCTTGGTCCCAGTTAGACTTTTTTAACGCAAGGGGCCCCCCACCACCTAAATCCGGCACCGATTGACATTTTGAGCATCAGGAATCAGGATCATAAGCTCTAGAAAAGAGATGTGCTTTCAACTGAAACAAACATTCCCGACTCTTAACAGCCAGTGGAAACCTGTTGAACACACTTGAAGCTACATAAGAAAAGGCTCTATCTACAAATGCAATTTTTTCTGCACAGCACGATGCTCATTCAGTCTTAAAAGGGTCCTCAGGTATTTGCAGAAACATTCACGAGTTCGATGTATAAGGTACAAGCATCTCAATACGATACTTGGGTTCGTTAAACTTGATAGTGTTAAATGTTAATAAATGGAGTTTAAATTCATTACTTGCCTTGTTATGCAGTCTATGTAGCTCATACAAGTAGGGACTAGCAGCAGTAGTAGTTCGGTGTTAAAATACCAGTCCAGTAGCATGATTCAGTATAGACTCCAGCCTTTTTTTAGTAAATAGTTAGGCAAACTCACAATTGAATCACTGCAAAAATCAGTTCGAGAGAAAACAAACGAATGGATGACCAACCACATCAGGGACTGTAGCTCAACACTGGCTTAGAAATTCAGACTCAGCCCTTTAAATGGGACTGACCTACTTCCGTGCCTCCCCTCCACAGAGGTTCCTTGATGCTGGTGTGATGTCCTTTCCTTGGATCGAATCTAATTGTTTCCATTTCCCAGCTGCTGTATGGCCCCTACAGATTAAACTCTGCTCTAAATTCAATGATAATAATAATAATAATAATTCCACTTTTACTATTGCTGCATCGCTCTACTTTCATTGGCTCCTGCAGTGCTGTATGACCCTTGTGGGTTTAGCGCTTAGTTTTGATTATAATAATTCCATTGGCTCCACTGTTAGACCGACCACTAGCTTTCCTCCTGTAGAGGATGTGTCTACAACTCAACTGCTAAATCTCTGGCTTATTCCATTGGCCTGATCTACTTGCACAAATAGGTCTTTTTATACGTAAGAAAATCCACTACTGCTACATCACTCCACTTCTAAGCAGCACTGCTGTAATGAAGGTCATCAAAAGGAAAATAAACAAGGTATTGAAGGATGTAGGGAATCACCCAGGTTATGACTGCTATGTAGGGCTGTGGGCCTAGGGCAGGAATAGTATAACTGTACTAGTGATTGTCAGTGAAGCCGAGCTGAGAGCGGAGAGCGTAGAGGCCCCTCAAGGAAGGTTCCTTGATGTTGGTGAGGGGCTCTTGATTTAGGAAATTGGATCTGTGCTCCAGTTCCCCGAATTAAGTCTGAATGCCTTCCACATCCCCCCCCCCCCAGGCGCTGTATAATCCTCCGGGTTTAGCGCTTCCCCTTGATTATAATAATAATAATGAGAGCGTAGAAATCTTGAAAGCGGTCACAGATATGTCCTACAGGAAAGTTATTCTTTATGAAAAATTAGATACATCATCAGTGTGGAGAGAAATGGTATAAAATGCCGACACGATGGCAAAAGACACAATAACTACTCAAAGTTCAAGCGCCAATAACCCTACTAACCTATACTCTGCAGACCCCACTCAAATCCAACCCTTTTCACTTGTATATCTGTCAAATCTATTTTTAATGTTCCCCTCAAGGAAGGTTCCTTGATGTTGGTGAGGGGCTCTTGATTTAGGGAATTGGATTTGTGCTCCAGTTCCCCGAATTAAGCCTGAATGCCTTCCACATCCCCCCCCCCAGGCGCTGTATAATCCTCTGGGTTTAGCGCTTCCCCCTTGATTATAATAATAATAATATTTTTAATGTTACTTAAAGTTTTAACATCAACAGTTTTAATTAGCATATTGCTCCACTCATTGATTACTCTATTTTCAAGCCAGAATTTTCCTATGTCCTTTCTAAATCTAAACATATCCGATCTGAAGCCACTATTTCGAGTTTTTTCTTGGTTGGATATCCCCAGTCCCGAATTTAAATCTCCTTTATTAATGCCCATCTTCCTCTCATACACTTCAATCATACTTTCCTTCGTTTTACTCCTTTCACAGGAGTGTAGATTCAGAAGATGTGACCGAATGTTCGTGTAGGGGTGAGAGATAAGGAGGGTGGGGTAGCGGTGTATAACTCACAGGTTAGGTTGGTTCCCACGACAGTGTGTAATGAAGGAGGTAGGCAGCATATAATCTCAGCTAGGTTGACGCCTTGCAGTAAATCCTACACTGGAGATACGCCCACCACCCTACCTCTTGAGACCTGCTCACCACCCCACCGATGGTGACCGGCCCACCAGCCCAGCTCTGGAGGCCTGCCCACCCTTCCTATGGTGATCTACCCACTACCCTACCTATGGAGGCCTGCCCACTACCCTACCTCTTGAGACCTGCCCACCACCCCAGCTCTGGAGGCGTGCCCACCACCCTTCATATGGAGATGTACCCACCACCCCACCTTTGGAGGTCTGCCCACCACCCTACCTCGAGAGATCTACCAACCACCCCACCTATGGAGATTTGCCCAACACCCTAACTCTGGAGATCAACCCACCACCCTACCTCTGGAGATCTACCCACCACTCCACCTATATTTTGCGACCTGCCCACCACCCTACATTCTGAGACCTGTCCGCCACCCAACCTGTGGTGATCCGTCCACCACTTTACCTCAGACACGCCCACGGACACCCATATTACTCTCCTCGATGCCTACATAATACATCTATTCAAGACGTCTGTTCTAGATAGACACACGAATAAAATTTTCTCGCTGAGGCCATGGACGAATAACTGAAAACGAACAACTGAAAACGAATAACATGAACGAATAATTTCGCCAGCACATGTAAAAACTTCGGTATCCATCCCTGTCTTATCGCTAATGGATTTTTTATTCTGTGTTATCCAATTATCGGGCTGTGTAATTATGGTAAATAGGTTCACGCGCCGTGCTGCAACCACCTTTCTCAAGCGCCGCTGTAAGGGCTAGTTACTGCACTATAATAGTCGGGTACCGCAGGGTAATCGCTGGTTACCAGCTGATAATTGCAAGCTGGTGGAGGGTAATGATGGTGACCAGACGACAAACTGGTGATTAGCAGTAATTAAACCCGAGCTTACAGCTGGATAAGTAGCCAACCCTTTATGAGAGAAAGTCGGATTACTTGTTAGATCAAGGAGATATCACACACACACACACACACACACACACATATATATATATATATATATCTGTGTGTGTGTGTGTACTCACCTATTTGTGGTTGCAGGGGTCGAGTCATAACTCCCGGCCCAGCCTCTTCACTGATCGCTACTAGGTCTTCTCTCTCCCTGCTCTATGAGCTTTATCAAACATCATCTTAAAGCTATGTATGGTTCCTGCCAAACTATTCCACTTCCTGACCCCTCAAGGAAGGTTCCTTGATGTTGGTGAGGGGCTCTTGATTTAGGGAATTGGATCTGTGCTCCAGTTCCCCGAATT